ACACACACACACACACACTCTCTCGCATCACACACACACAGTTAACGTCATGCTAGTTTTACACACACACACACACATACACACACACAAACACACACATGCACCAGTAACATCATGCTAGAGTTACACACACACACACACACACACTCTCTCGCATCACACACACACAGTTAACATCATGCTAGAGTTATACACACACACACACACACACACACACACTCTCTCGCATCACACACACAGTTAACATCATGCTAGTGTCGCACACATGCAGACACACTCACATCACACACACCGGTAACAATATGTATACACACACACACTATCTTACATCCCATACATGCTTGTGTCACACACACACTCTCATGACACACACTGGTATCATCATGCTAGTGTTACACTCACACACACACACACATTCAAAACACACACACACTTTCATCACATATGCACCAACACACACACACACACACTGTCTTACATTACATCCTTCGGCTTATTCTCTTTATTAATCAGGGGTCACCACAGCGGAATGAACCAACAAATATTCCAGCATATATTTTACACAGCGGATGCCCTTTCAGTCGCAACCCAGTACTGGGAAACACTCATACACACTCATTCACATACACACTCACACACTACAGCCAATTAAGTTAATCAAGGCCCCTATAACTCCACACAGAAATTCCAACTGACCCAGCAACCTTCTTGCTGTGAGGCTTTAGTGCTAACCACTATGCCACCGTGTCGCTCATGTTCATCATACCAAAATATGTCTATGCACTTCCTCTGTTTGTTCTCGGGTTGTGTTTTAATAAGCAAATCTCCTCTCCCATGAGCCTCCTCCTGAGTCTCTGTGCTGTTTTGAAGGATGCGAGCGCTTTTATAAACACACTCTCATCTCCGAGCGCCTCTGTGGGGGTGGAGGACATGAAAAGGCACTATTTACCCACCTTCATCAGCTCAAATCCTGCTTCTGTAATCGCGTTAGCAGCTCCATCATCCGGTGCTCGTCTCTCTGATCTGACGGCGGAAACAAACACTCGTTCCTGGAATAACTGCAGCCGCAAACACACACACACAAACGGCCGATACATATCCATCAGCAGGATCAGAGTTAAGCCGCGTCTGCTGCATTGTGTTGATTAACAGCATGGAGATTAGAACCGCACACACACACACACACACACACACACACACACCTTCATGTATGTATTCACTCGCTTTTATATTTAGATATGTTTGAGTATTTGCTTGGATTTGTTCGCTTTATCTATGTCTTTCAGTTTACACGCTCAAGTTATTTTGTAAAACGTTTGCATAGAGAATCTTTTAAGCAAGTGTTAAATCACATCCAAAATAAAAAGACAAACACACACACACACACACACACACACACACACAGACATAAAACCAAAACTATTTTTTTTGCATAAATGTTTACATGTAATTTGCATCATATACATTCATTCATTTTCTTTTCGGGTTGGTCCCTTTATTAATCAGGGGTCGCCACCGCGGAATGAACCGCCAACTTATCCAGCATTTGTTTTAAACAGCGGATGGCCTTCCAGCTGCAACCCATCTCTAGGAAACATCCATACACATTTCAAACCTAAATATGAATCAACATTTTCTCAAACACATGCATGTACATGTGGGAAAGTGTTTGCCGCTCACTGATTTCTTTTTATTTTGCATGTTTGCCACACTTTAATATTTTAGATCATCAAACAAATTTAAACATTAATCAAATATAACAGAAGCAAACATAGTTTTGAAGTGGGTTTTGTTGATAAGTGATCTTAATTGGATTTTATTTAATTTCTATTTCTTAAATTTTTATTTAATTTACTTTATTTCTTTGGGGGGGAGGGGGGGTGATAAATACTATTTCACACCTTTGTATTAAATATGTAATACAATGTAAACACATTCAGTTGAAGTCAGATTTATTATCATTATATTATTAATATTAATATTATGAGCCTCCCTGTATATTTTTTCCCTCAAATTCTGTTCAAAGGAAAGATTTCTTACACATTTCTTAACATAATAATTTTAATAACTCATTTCTAATAACTGTCATGATGACAGCACATAATATTAGACTAGATATTCTTTAAGACACTGGTATTCAGCTTAAAGTGACATTTAAAGGCTTCACTAGGGTAATTAGGGTTAAGTTAGGGTAATTAGGCAAGTCATTGTATAACAGTGGTTTCTTCTGGAGACAATACAAAATTAATGTTGCTAAAGGGGCGAATAATATTGAAAAAAATTTAATCTGCTTTTATTCCAGCCGAAATAAAACAAATAAGACTTTCTCCAGAAGAAAAAATATTAGAGGACATACTATGAAAATTCCTGAATCTGTTCAACATCATTTAGTAAAAAAAAAACGTTTCATTTGGATGTGATTTATTACTATTTAATCTTCACTTACCACTATTTTTTTACATTTTGTTAAAGACAATGTTTGGTGCTTCTTTAATTCAATTGTTTGTTAAACTTTTACAGAAATAGCAGGATAGTTTTACAGAAACAATTTAAATAAATATTATTCCCAACCTTTCCTCCATAAACAAAATTAAATTACAAATACACATGATGATGATAATAATAATAATAATGATAATGATAATAATAATAAAATTATATTTAAAAAGTTGGAAAGTGCATATTTATATATACAAAAAATACTAATATAGTGTCAATTATGTATAAAATATATATTGGATCGGAGTTTGCATGTTCTCCATGCGTTCGCGTAGGTTTCCTCCGGGTGCTCCGGTTTCCCCCGCAGTCCAAACACAGGGCTATAGGGGAATTGGGTGAGCCAAATTGTCTGTAGTGTATGTGTTTAAATGAGCGTGTATGGATGTTTCCCAGTAATTAGTTGCAGCTGGAAGGGCATCCACTGTGTAAAATATATGCTGGATAAGTTGGCAGTTCATTCCTCTGTAGCGACCCCTGATTAATAAAGGGACTGAGCCGAAAAGAAAGATGAAAAATATATATATATATATATTGGATCATTTACATTAATAAATAGCAAAGTGCACATATACATCAACAAACTGAAATTCTAAACGTAATCTAGTTTTTAAATTCACTTTTTAATTGGAAAACCCAAACACTAGAATTGCTATTTATTAAAAATCACATTCTTTCCAAATGAATGAACACAACCAGTTATCATGTGTTTCTCCGTACCACCTCCAGGCTCCCCATACCGGGACAAGATCACGATCGCCATCCTGCAGCTCCAGGAGGAGGGAAAGCTGCACATGATGAAGGAGAAATGGTGGCGGGGAAACGGCTGCCCGGAGGAGGAGAGTAAAGAGGCCAGCGCTCTGGGTGTCCAGAACATCGGCGGCATCTTCATTGTGCTCGCCGCCGGGCTCGTGCTGTCCGTGTTCGTGGCCGTCGGAGAGGTGCTCTACAAGTCAAAGCAGAATGCGCACATACAGAAGGTACAGCACACACACACACACACACACACACACACACACTTTCTGGATACTGCATCTTAAAGGGACAGTTCAAGCTGTCTCTTTAACTATGAAGGGGTGTGTTTTGTGGTGAGGGGAGGAGCTAACTATGAAGGGGTGTGTTTTGTAAAGAGGAGGAGCTAACTATGACGGGGTGTGTTTTGTGGTTAAGAGGAGGAGCTAACTATGAAGGGGTGTGTTTTGTAAAGAGGAGGAGCTAACTATGACGGGGTGTGTTTTGTGGTTAAGAGGAGGAGCTAACTATGAAGGGGTGTGTTTTGTAAAGAGGAGGAGCTAACTATGACGGGGTGTGTTTTGTGGTTAAGAGGAGGAGCTAACTATGAAGGGGTGTGTTTTCTGGTGAGGGGGAGGGGCTAACTAAAAAGGTGTGTGCTTTGTTGTGAAGGGGAGGGGCTAACTATGGAGGAGTGTTTTGTGGTGAAGCGGAGGAGCTAACTATGAAAGGGTGTGTTTTGAGGTAAAGGGGAGTAGCTAGCTATAAAGGGGTGTGTTTTGTGGTGAAGGGGAGGGGCTAGCTATGAAAGGGGTGTTTTTTGGTGAAGGGGAGGAGCTAGCTATGAATGGGGCTTGTTTTGTGGTGAAGGGGAGGAGCTAAATATGAAGGTGTGTGGTTTGTAGAGAAAGTATAGGGGCTAACTATGAAGGGGTGTGATTTGTGGAGAAGGGGAGGGGCTAAGTATGAAGGGGTGGGGTTTGTGATGTAGAGGAGGGGCTAACTATGAAGGGTGTGTGTTTTGTGGTGGAGGGGCTCACTATGAAGGGGTGCGGTTTGCGAGGAAGGGGATAAGCTAACTATGAAGGAGTGTGGTTTGTTGAGAAGGAGATGAGCTAATGATTAAGGAGTGGGTTAGTGATGAGGAGGGGTTAACTCTGAAGGGGTGTGGTTTGCGAGGAAGGGGATGGGCTAACTATGAAGGGGTGTGGTTTGCGGGGAATGGGTGGGGCTAATGATTAAGGGGTTGTAGGTGATGTGGAGGGGCTAAATATGAAGGCATATGGTTGGTGATGAAGAGTAGGAGCTAACTTAAATGGGGTGTGGTTTGTGTTGAAGGGGACGGGCTAACTATGAAGGAGTATAGTTAGTTATAAAGGGGAGGAGCTAACTATTAAGGCGTGTGGTTGATGAAGGGTGGGTATAATAATTAAAGGGTGTGGTTGGTGAGGGTGAAGGGCTAACTATGAAGGGGTATAGTTAGTGATGAAGGGGAGGAGCTAACTATGAAGGGTCGGGATAATGATCGAAGATTGATGAAGGGGAGGGGCTAACTATCAAGGGGTGGGGTTGGTAATGAAGAGGAGGAGCTAACAATGAAATGGAGTCGTTGGTGAAAGGGAAGATCTATCTATGAAGGGGTGTGGTTTATAAAGGCTGGGGATAATGATTAAAGGGTGTGGTTGAAGGGGAGGGGCTAACTATGAAGGGGTGGGGTGGTGATGAAAGGGAGGGGCTAGCTCTGAAAGAGAGTGGTTGGTGAAGGGCAGGAGCTAATTATGAAGTAGTGTGGTTGGTGAAGGGGAGAGGCTAACTGTGATGGGGTAGGGTTAGTGATGAAGGAGAGGGACTAACTATGAAGGGGTATAGTTAGTGATGAAGGGGAGGAGCTAACTGTGAAGGGGTATAGTTAGTGATGAAGGGGAGGAGCTAACTATGATGTGGTATAGTTAGTGATGAAGGGGAGGAGCTAAAAGTGAAGGGTATAGTTAGTGATGAAGGGGAGGAGCTAAAAGTGAAGGGGTATAGTTAGTGATGAAGGGGAGGAGCTAACTGTGAAGGGGTATAGTTAGTGATGAAGGGGAGGAGCTAACTATGATGTGGTATAGTTAGTGATGAAGGGGAGGAGCTAAAAGTGAAGGGGTATAGTTAGTGATGAAGGGGAGGAGCTAACTGTGAAGGGGCATAGTTAGTGATGAAGGGGAGGAGCTAACTATGATGTGGTATAGTTAGTGATGAAGGGGAGGAGCTAAAAGTGAAGGGGTATAGTTAGTGATGAAGGGGAGGAGCTAACTGTGAAGGGGCATAGTTAGTGATGAAGGGGAGGAGCTAACTATGATGTGGTATAGTTAGTGATGAAGGGGAGGAGCTAAAAGTGAAGGGGTATAGTTAGTGATGAAGGGGAGGAGCTAACTGTGAAGGGGCATAGTTAGTGATGAAGGGGAGGAGCTAACTGTGAAGCTGTATGGTTGATGAAGGGTGGGGAATATGATAAAAGGGTGTGGTTGTTGATGAAGGGGAGGGGCTAACTATGAAGGGGTGTGGTCTGTAAAGGGGAGGAGCTGATGATGAAGGCATGGGAAGTTTCATCTGGCCAAATCTAATCAACAAAAGAGTTTCTTTGGCCTGAATGGATCCACAAAGGCGCAGTTATTGACATCCAGTTTGCATTACTTGTTCAGGAGGTTTAATGTCTCTCACATCTGGGCTGCTGGAGTTTACAATCAAATCACAATTGCAAAAACCAAAGAAAATCACTTTTCTGTTATATATATATATATATATCACTGTGTGTGTGTCCAGCGCTCGTTCTGCAGTGCGATGGTGGAGGAGCTCCGGGTGTCTCTGAAATGTCAGCGGCGAAGGAAACAGAAGCCTCAGCCTCCCGCCATCGTCAAGACTGAGGAGGTGATTAACATGCACACGTTCAATGACAGGAGGCTCCCGGGGAAAGAGACCATGGCCTGAGCGCTCCTGCAGGACTCCTGCCACTCTCGTCCAGATGACGGACACTAAGATGTTTCCTGTGGAAATCCAGCGGTCCAGAACCACGGAGTCTTCGGTCCCGAACAGCGGAGGCGCTCGGACACACACTCCTCATCAACGCTGCTGGTTTGGGTTTCTCTATGAACGACGTGTAGGATGCTGTCAGTGACTGCGTTTACATGGACATCAAAGTATGTAGCTTAAAGGGGACCTATTATGCTGAAATCACTTTAAAGGGTAACAATGTGTGAATATAACCAGCTTCTAATGGTCAAAATTACGCACGTGTCATCAGAGGGGGAAAGCCCCGCTCACTAGTGACTCCCTTATTAGCATAATCGACCCTGAGTGAGAAGCAGCCGTCTGTCCATTAGCCATTAGAGCGTTTGAGCTGCTGAAGATAATGTCAGCATCGAGCAGGGCTATTCAATTAGTTTGTCATGGGGGCCAGTTCATGAAAAGCATCACAAATGAGGGGCCGGAGAAATATGACTTGCAATATAAGTGAAGACACAACAGCAATATAAGAGCCCATATGCTGTATTTTTGCTCATTAAGACGCCCACGTTGGCTTTCTCTACATTAAAATGTTACTATGTTGTATTTTTAAACTACATAACATCACAGCATTGTACAATAGGCTTTTTTTTTTTTTACAAACACATTCAAATGTTGTATTTCAAAGCACAACAAAAGCAGTGCATTGCTTAAATAGGCTTCTTCTACATTCAGACACATTCATATGTGGTTTTAAACTGTGCAACAAGTATGGATGCAACGATTATAGATTTTGGTTGAACGATCATATAGTCTGAAGAATAATCATGGTTTCATGATTATCACGATTATTATTCATTTATTAAATTTAAAACACTACTAGTTTAGAAAATCAAAAGAAAAGTGCTGTTTATTGCTGCTCAGTAACCAAATACAGCACAAAATAATAATAAAACACAAACAAGAGTCTCTCTTTGGACTTAAAAATAAATTAAAAGGTGTTTGATTTAAACATGAGTGAATATTTTACAATGAAAATAAATGACAGAACATTGAATAAATAAATAAATAAATAAAAATAAGAATAAATAAAAAATCGTATTTGTCTAAAAAATCGTATTTGTCTGAAAGCCACGCACAACTCTCACCAGTACAGCCTGAGATAATTTGTACTATGTGCACCTGGAGGGCGCAAGTGCGTCGGCCCGCTTGCAAGTCCCAATATGCGCACGTCTCCATTGGAAATAATGAACTTGTGTGCGGAAAAGAGGCAAAAATGCGAAAAAGAAGAACGGTCTGCTGCTATAGTTAATCCTGTGTGCTTATTGGCATAACTTTGTTTAGTTGCAGCAGTTTTGTTCCATGCAAAAGAAACGCGGTGTTGAGAAGCCTTTACGATTAATCAACCGTATCGAATTTAAGCGCGGTTAATAGGCTAATCGTTGCATCCCTATTAACGATATCAGAGCATTGTACAAAGGGCATTTAACAAACATATCCAAATGTTTTCAGCTGCTCGCACCACTCACTTAATGTCAGGTGACTCACTCTCTGAGCAGCCTTAAACTGCAGCTTGTGCTGTATCGAACAGACGCACATCACTTCAAAACTATAGCGGCCGTTTTTCCACTGAGCTAAATTTATTTTTGATGTCTTGGTCACACTATTTGGAGGGCCGGAACAAATTGCCTCGGGGGCTGGGTTTGGTCCGCGGGCCGCCAATTGAATAGCCCTGGCATAGAGGATTATAGATGTGGGGTTTTAGATGAAGCACAAATGACTAGTGGAGTCTCCATAGACTGATGCATTCTCACACATATTTGACCTTTTTCACTCTGCAAACACAGCTAGTCCTGTTTTGAATCTGCCTCCATGCTCACACACAGGTGTTTGTAGCTCCGCCCTCTTCTGAAAAGAGCCCAGTCTCATTTGAATTTAAAGCGACAGTCACTAAAATGCCACAATTAGGATCAAAACCTATAATGGTTAGTTTCAGAGAGATGAAAAACATTATTAGTGTGCTATTTTGAGCTGGAAATTCACATACACACTCTAGAGACATCTGAGTGTTATTTTACATCTTGTATAAGCAGCATAATAGGTCCACTTTAATCTGAATAAGACAATACTACGATTAAGGTGTTTATATGAGTTGCTTTAGGAAGGTTCCCGTTTTATATGTATAAATAGACAGATAACGTCATTACAAAACTATGCTATCCAATGTTTCCTCCGGAGTTTCGTCTGATTTCAGGTGTTTAGTTTTTTAGTTCAACTGCAGTTTCACTTTCATATGTGGTCCATAACTGACTCTATAGGTGCAGAGATTAGTTGTCAAACAGATGTGTGTGTTGACTATGCTGTCGCAATATGCAGAAATAGTCTGACTGCTGTGTTTACATGTCTGCACTTCAATAATGCCGCTAAAATAGGATTACTCCACATGTCTGAATGTTTAGTTCGATTATGTCTTTACTCAGATTGTGGTCATTATTTAACATGCTAGACTCTTAATCAGAGGATTGTCTTAATCGTGTTGAGGTCTGAGTATTGGTGTCCATGTAAACGCATCAAAGAGTGTATCAGTCAGATCACATCTGCTGCTGCTTTATTGCTGCCTTCCAGATTTATTCAGATATAAAGCACTCACGGTTAGCCCCCGAAGCATTTCTCTCATTCGTATTCGCCAGATTATTCAGTAAAACGTGCTGAGAAATCAACCAAACTGACCTGCTATCAATTTAGATAAAGAAAAGCTGAATATGTCAAAAGTCCAAACGCCCTCCATAGATTAATCATGTTTTAATTTCATCTAAAATAAGTTTGTTTTGACAATTTATGTGTGTGTTACATTCATGTATATCTGATAAACATACTATAAAAACAAAACTCTAACAAAACATAGATAGTTAAATTTATAGGCTAAATAATTGGTATCATATACATATATAATAGCCAAATATGAATAACCATATATATATATATATATATATGAGCAATATCATTTGAGTAGCAGTGCGATATGGCTGAATATTGGCACTGGTGGGAGACGTCTGTTGACTCGAGGCTGCAGGCTGAGTGCCTTAGTGTCCTATATACCGGCACATGGCACTGCTACAAGTGTGATATTGCATTTATACAACAGTTTGATGGCACATCATGTATATAAAAAAGAAAATCAAACACAGAGCATCTCAAAATTCCTTTTGTATGAGGAACTACTTTCTTCCGCCATTCATTCACATCTGCAGCTGACATCAGGACAGCAGAAACCGCTGCTCATTCACCAACGTCACTGTAGAGCGAGTGATGAATGATTCTTTAGCTGTAATGACTAAAGGGATGACAAAACAGATGATTTTGCTCACATTTTAAGATTATTAGTCTGAACGGCATAAAATACCATGAGTCTACAGAGATTTCCCAGTATTTCTCTCTTACAATCAAAATATCACAATAATTAACCCCGAAAAAGCCAGAATAATTTTTCTCCCCTGAGGACTTACTATGCAGTTTTTGTCGCCATCTAATGGCGGAACGTCAGCCCTCTGTGCTCTGCTCAGTATGACAGACTAATGGCCGCCGATGTGCTGAATCATATTCAATTATAAATATTTAAAATAGGCACTATCCCCATAACTAAATTGCATAGATGCACTCTAAACAACTACGTTCTTGTCTAAAAAACAGCCTCAAAAGTACATTGTTGTCCAATAGCTGTAATATTTGTCAAACTGTAGTGAGTTTATTGATCTGCTGTCACTCTATGTGTGCGGAGTAATACACAAGGGTGAAGAGGCTGTATGAGCGCTGTTAATTGCTGATTTGAGACCCAGAC